TTAACTGGCCCATGGACCCCCGCGTCCTGCTCAGTCAGCTCCCATGCACTACGCTAAACCAGAGTGGAGCAGAGTGAGGACCGCCTTCCGCTATGCCAGCCAGCTTCTCATTGGCTGCAGGAAGGTCCTGCAGCCAATGGGAAGCTGCGTACAGCTCCTCCGCGCTGGAAGGAGCACTAGAAATAGCATTTGTGCCTGCATGCACTCCGGCCCATGGCGGCTTCTAAGGGACAATGAACCGGCCCAAGTCACAAAAACTTTGACAACCCCTGCCCTACAGGAATGGTGGTGTCCTAAAAAGGCCTATTGACCACATGGGGTAGGCAAATCTGACTCTCTCTTTTTTTAGTTTCCCATAAATATTTAAGAGGGGATGTGTTGTTATGTGGGGTTAGTGTACGATGTAGTTTTGAAATTGGTGGTTGTGGAAGCTTCAGTCCACTACAGTCATACCTTGGTTTTCGAACATGCCTAGTTCTCAAACGTTTTGCCTCCTGAACAATTGAAACCCAGAAGTGACTGTTCCGGTTTTCAACCGTTGTTTTGGAAGCCGAACATCCGACAGGGCTTCTGATTGGCTGCAAGAGTTTCCTGCAGCCAATCAGAAGCTGCGCTTTGGTTTTCGAACGTTTTGGGAGTCGAATGGACTTCCGGAACAGATTCCATTCGACTTCCAAGGTACGACTGTATTTTGATTCAGAATTTGCATCCTCAAATTGTATCCAGGGTCAGACAAAAACCTGCCCCTTGATCTTGGGAACTATCCTGCAAATTTTGGTTGCGTTATCAAGGTGTTCAAATGCAGAATGAGCAAACACAGCTTACATAATGATATAGTTTATGGGGCAGTAAGATTGGGGTTGCGAGCAAAATAATACCCAGGGCTCATCCCCCGCACAGGGCCCATACCCTAACCATGTGCCCATATGCCAGGACAGAAGCATGAGGTCTTTCTCCTTGCCCTACAGCTACAGGGGGCTTTTTTGTTGTGGCCCTGCCCAGGCAGAAACCCCTCTCCTAACAAAGCTGGTGATACAACTGCAAACATTCCTGCACCCGCTGCAAGGAACTACACCCCATCTCAGAACAAACCTAATTAGATCACTTACTTAATGCTGATTGCAAAGCGCTCAGCCTCTGCCGGCCTCTCCCGGATCAGGTACGTCCCAGTAACATGCAGCTTCAATAGATTGTCTGTCTGCTGCCTTTCCATGTTTCCTGCAAACCTGAAAAACAAAAAAACATGAAATGCTCATTTACTCATTTGTTTTTGAGAGCTGAATTTTCTAGTTTGGAACCCCTACTTTCATTTCTCCAAGTTTCTAGCCCCTGTGGCCAAAAATAACTTGTATGGATTTATTAGTAATTTGTATTCATGCTACATTTGCATTATTTCAGCATTTGTTGTTGTTTCGGTGGTCTGCTGTTGTTGCTTTAGTTTTCTATACAGTGGAACCTCGGGTTGCAGAAGTAATCCGTGACGGAGGCACGTCTGCAACCTGAAGCATTCGCATCCTGAAGCGCCACGTCTGCGCAGACACCAGCACGATTTGGTGCGTCTGCACGTGGCAAAACCCAGAAGTAACCTGTTCTGGTACTTCTGGGTTTCCCACGGTCCGCAACCCGAAAACACGTAACCTGAAGTGTCTGTAACATGAGGTATGACTGTACGCTGCTCCCGAGTTACGTTTTACATATTAAGTGCTACAGAACTCATTTGAATCAAGTTATCAATAAGGTAACTTGAGTAAGTAAGTTTTAATCAGTCCCAGCTGGCATGACAATTGTCAGGGGACAATGGAAGTTGGATTCCAGAAACACTTTGGCTACTCCAAGGTATGCCAAACAAAAGCCGTGAGCATCCACCTTTAGGTCTCCTGGTAAAAGGTAAAGGGACCCCTGACCATTAGGTCCAGTTGTGACCGACTCTGGGGTTGCAGCGCTCATCTCGCTTTATTGGCTGAGGAAGCCGGTGTACAGCTTCCGGGTCATGTGGCCAGCATGACTAAGCTACTTCTGGCGAACCAGAGCAGCACACGGAAACGCCGTTTACCTTCCCGCCTGGAGCAGTACCTATTTATCTACTTGCACTTCATGATTTCGAACTGCTAGGTTGGGAGGAGCAGGGACCGAGCGACGGGAGCTCATCCCGTCGCGGGGATTTGAACCGCCGACCTTCTGACCGGCAAGTCCTAGGTTCTGTGGTTTGACCCACAGTGCCACCTGCGTCCCAGGTCTCCTGATAATGCATGCCTAATTTGAACACTGGAACTCACCAAGGATAGGCAGAGTAATCCATCTCTCGTGATGGGGGCCGGCTGTTAGGAGGCTGCAGAAAGCAGAGCAGAAAAGAGTTACGCAAGTAGTGGCATCCTAAGAAGGCAAACAGTGGTGGTTGTTTTTTAATGAATCACAGCATTGTATAGTTGGAAGGGACCCCAAGAGTCATCTAGTCCAACCCCCTGGAATGCAGGAATCACAGTTAAAGAATAACTAAGAGATATCCGTCCAGCTTCTGCCTGTTGTTGTTTAGTCATTTAGTCGTGTCCGACTCTACGTGACCCCATGGACCAGAGCATGCCAGCTTCTGCTTAGAAACCTCAAATAAAGGAGAGCCCAGCACCTTCCAAGGGAGTTCATGGACCAAGTATAAGTGTGTAAGTTAATGAGTTATTAGCTGTGAGGAAGATGAAATTGGACACATTGGACAATATGTTAGCAACATAACTGTGCCCTTAAGTGAACGTAAGAGGCCTGCAGCTGGATCAGGCCACAGGGTCCAGGTGCCCCAATGGGAAGAAGCCCACAAGCAGGACCTGAACACAACACAATCTCTCACCATTTGAAAATTCCGAGCAACTGGTATTATTCAGAAATACTCATCATGGCTAGTAGCATGCATGCTGATTAGCTTATTCCCATGCCTCCCCCGCCACCTCCATATGTTTGGCTGAATGTCTCCAGACTAAGAAACACAAAACGTCTTGATTTGTTTTTTCTCAAATTATACACTGGTTTTGTCCAGTTTTCTAAATAAGGTTCTATCAAGACTTTTCTCCTATCTGCATAAGTTAAGTGATTCTGCTAACATTCCTGTCTCCTTACTCTGGCATCCACTGGGCAGGGTTTGACTGATGAGCTGGGGAAATAACCAGACTTCTTCGACAATATTAGCCTTCCCTGCAAACGAAGATGAGAAAAAGAGTCATAGGGCAGAGTCACAGCAAGAGTAATAAAAAGAAATTGATATTTAGGGGAATTGAATTTAATTCTAAATTATATACCGCAAATGTAGGAGATTACAAAGGGTCAAAAAAAATAATATGGATGCACTGTGCCATATTAGAAGCAAAAAAACTCTTTTTGATGAATTGGAAGAGCTGCAAAAAGATTCCATTGAGCACATGGATTGATCATATGGACAGACTAGCTACATACGAACCAATTGCATGCTGACGCAAATTAAGAATGGATAAATATGAAGAAATCTGGAAGGAATATTTAAGCGATAAGGCGGACAGTGGTGGGAAGTAGAGGGAGGAGAGGTGGGGAAATATTGTTAAAAAGGTGTAGTCATAGGTATATCACTACTCAAATCTGAAATGTTAAATTGTGTTATTAGTGTTATTGTGGTTTTTGTTGTATGTAATTTTTGTGGTTGTTGTTTGTATTGAAAAAATGATTAAATAAATTTTAAAAAAGTCATAGGGCAGAGTCATAGCGGGTCCTTTTGGCCTCAGAGAGTCATAGGTTCAGTTAACATGGACCAGGAGAAGCAGGACCAGGAGAAGCCCGCAGTGCAAGCAGGCTGCTGGGGCAAGGGCTGGGGAATTATGCTGGCCATCCAGGTTGCCCAAGAGGCCACTGTTTTGAAGCCTCCAACGTAACACCCATGGGTGCACTGGGACCCTTGAGGTCCCCCCTCAAGGAAGAGTCATGTCAGAAATCAAGAATGCTTTCCAGCCAAGCAAAAATGCTCAAGGAGGGTGTGGCCTAGGAAGACTTATGGGGGCCATACAGAGAGGTCTGGAGGGCCAGATTAGAGCCTGAAATCCCCCACCCCGATTTAAAACTAAGTTGCAAATCAGTTCCATTGGATGCAATGGCTGAGCTTGTGCCCCATCTTCACCTAAGATCTCCTGGAAGTTTCCAGAGGGCCTCCCAGCACTCACCTCCCACCACTGTGACTCTGGGTCCCCTCGGAGGAGCTCAATAACTTCTCCCGTTTGAAATGTCAAGACGGGCTTCCCTGGGGGAGCTGGGTTGCCATGGTAGTTCTGGACTGCCACCATTTTGGGACCTGCATGTAGACAGAAGGAAGGAGATGCCATGCTGAAGTTGGAAGCAATTAAGTCAGTGAATGAACTTCTATCAAAATGTAATCATCATCATCATCATCCACTCATCTGACTGGGTTGCCCCAGCCACTCTGGGGGGCTTCCAGCAAAATAAAACATCAAACATTAAAAATTTGCTATGCAAGGCTGCTTTTAGATGTCTTCTAAAAGCCAAAGTTGTTTATCTGTTGACTTTGCCGTTATATGGTGGAATCAAAGGCTGATATTGCTTTGGGGCAGCCTCATTTATTTAAAGCATTTCCCATTTTCACTATTTGGCCAATAACTAAGTAAATAAAGATTCCCAGAACAGCCTACAGATCAACTAGAAATAAATAAATCAGTCTCTGCCCTTGAGCTTATATTCTTTTTAAGAAAACAACCCAGCCTATCCTGCCTTTTACTCAGAAACAATGAGGACTAGACTATCACTTTAAGGGGAGAATAGAGCAGCTGCTTTGCATATAGAAAGCCCCAGGTTTAATTCCTAGCAGCATCTCCAGGTAAGGCTGGGAATATCTCCTGTCTGAAACCCTGGAGAGATGCTGCCAGTCAGTGTTGACAATACTGAATTAGATAGACCAACTCTTGGGGGTATAATGCTAGTATTTAATTCTACCCTTATTCAGAACAATGAGGACATGAACCTCATTTATTTTTAGTGGAAAGTCCCTAGCTCAGTGGCAGAATACCTGCCTGGCATGCAGAAGGTCCCTGGTTCAAGCTCCACCGGCATCTCCAGACAAGGCTGGGAAAGAGTCCCTTGCCTGAAACCCTGGAGAACTGCTGCTGTCAGTGTAGACAATACTGAGCTTGATGGGCAAGTGGTGTGACTCAGGATAATGCAGACCATTCATCCATGCTCTGAGACACACACCAGGGATGCAGCTGATCTGTTCTGCAATTTACTGTTCCTCATCTCACTAAGCAGCAGGAGTATTTTGAGAAAAAAAGAAAAAGCACCAGCAATAATAATAATAAAGAGAAAATAGCAACCTTACCCATATTCAATGAATCCTGGACAAACAGAAAGAGAGAGAGAGAGAGAGAGAGAGAGAGAGAGAGAGAGAGAGATTTAAAAATTGTATATGATTCTTTCTGGGCCACAAAACATCCTGCTTGCTGTAACAACAGTTCACACTCTTCCTCTGTCTTCCCTCCGAGAGTTGAAAAAATAAGTATCACAAAACAGGTACAAACCTTGTCAAGAAACAAAGTTAACTCTTGATTAATACGGGGGGGGGGGGGGGGCTTTTTCAATCTGGGAGCTCTTCCTAGGGACTGCATGCCAGTAGTGAGTGGAGCTAAAATAAAAAGTGGGCACAGCAGGCAAAAAAAGGGGGGGGCAAACAAAGTACAAGTGGACAAAATTCAGCCATGCAAAAGCCAGAAGTTTTCCCACATTTTGCCTTGCTTTCTCTGTCCTCCATCGGAGCAAAGGGAAAAGGCATCAGGTAGGCTGGCACTGGGTGTGCCTGTCAGCAGAGCCAATCTGCTGCTTCTGCTGCCACACAACTGCCCTCCCTGTCGTCACCTCAACTTTCCCAGTATGTGGCAGTGACTTTGCAGGAGTGACCGACTGCTCCCGTCCCCATCTCCATTGCCCAGTGATGCCAGTGCACAAAGGAAATGAAATCACAGGCAGTTGCAACCAACAGATAGGAACATCCTTTCCTGGAGAGAAGGCAAAAAGAAGTGATGGATCTTACCTGGTCTGCAGGCGAACCTGAAGATTTGGGTGGGTTGGGGAGAAATGAAATGAAAATTCTGATTAGCTTGAGCAAGAAGCTCCACATTTCAGTTTACACCGTGGGCTGAAAGGATCCCAAAACCCCAAGAGAATATTTACTTACTTACTTACACCCCTCCCTTTTCCCAGACTAGGACTCAAAATGACATACACAAATTAAAAGAACACAAACAGAATACAAAAAGCTAAAAGCATATAAAAGATAATTGTTAAAAAGGAATGAAACTCATTTAATAGAATTCATACAATATAAATATCAAATATATTTAAATACAGGCAATAAAAACAGCACAGCACTATTTCAAAGCCCTTTCCTTAAATAAATAAATTAATAATAATAATAATAATAATAATTTTTTTAAAGTCCCGAAAAGCCTGAGAGAATAAAAGTCTTCACCTGCTGGCAGGAGAACAACAAAAAGGGAGCCAGTCTGGCTTCTCTAGAGAGGGAGTTCCAAAGTCTGGGAGCAGTCACCAAGAAGGCCCTTCATAACCAAGGGGGCAGTGTATTGCCTGGGGTGACTGCTCCAAGGCTTTGTGGGCACCAAGAGAGGACATCAAGGGTGGCATTGCACTCACGTACCACATTAGGGACCAACGGATCACTGAGGCAAACCACACTGGTGAAAAGCAGCTTCCGCATAGGAGAAACTTACTGATTTTGCAAGGGGGAATGACTTCCAAGCATTCCTTGTGAGCACCAACTTTGCATTTCACACACTGATAACCCTGGTAGAAGGTCCCTCTGTGAAAAGAGGAGTTGGGAAGGGTTAGGAATCACAGCTGAATAATCCATGACAGATGGCCCTCTGTTAAGCTAAATGTAAAGGGACCCCTGACCATTAGGTCCAGTTGTGGCAGACGCTTGGGTTGCGACACTCATGTCGTTTTATTGGCTGAGGGAGCCGGTGTACAGCTTCCGGGTCATGTGGCCAGCATGACTAAGCCGCTTCTGGCAAACCAGAGCAGCGCATGGAAATGCCGTTTACCTTCCCGCCAGAGCGGTACCTATTTATCTACTTGCACTTCGATGTGCTTTCAAATTGCTAGGTTGGCAGGAGCGGGGACCGAGCAACGAGAGCTCACCCCGTTGCGGGGATTCGAACCACCAACCTTCTGACCGGCAAGTCCTAGGCTCTGTAGTTTAACCCACAGCGCCACCCATGTCCCAGGCCCTCTGTTAATCTCTGTTAAAAACCTCCAGTTAAGAAGAGTTCACCACTTTCCAAGGGAGTCCTGTCCACTGTTGAATGGCTCTTATCATCAGAAGGTCCTTCTTTAGGTCTAGATGGAATCCCCCTTCTTGTAATTTCCCCCACCATCAGCAGAGACACAGGACCAGATACTTCTCATGAACAAGCTTCCCCACAACACACCATTTTACCTGCGTCCGTTTTAGGTGCTTCCCCTTCTCCAAGCATAGAACAGAGAAAGATGCCTTATACAAAGTCAGACTATTGGTATATCTTGCTCAGTACTGCCCACTCTGACTGGCAGAGGCTCTCCAGGATTTCAGGCAGGGCTATTTCTCAGCCTTACCTGGAGATGTCATTGGAGAATGAACCTGGGTTCTACTGGATGCAAAACTGATGATCTACCACCATGCATCTTTTCCCTCAGAATAAAATACGATTCCAGTCTTAAATGGAGTCAGGCCATATTAAGTCTATTTAGCTCAGTACTGCAGGATTTTAGGCAGGGGACAATCCTAGCCCTACCTGGAGATGTTTCTGGGAACTGAACCTGGGAATTTCTGCATACAAAGCAGCTGCTCTGCCACTCAGCTGTGGCCCGTCCCCAAGTCACTGAGTCACTGCAAGCCTAGCCGCTCTGTTGCAAATCACCCAGAGATCTGCCAGCAGATGCCAAACCACCTCCCGCCCACCATTGGTCTGGATAGACACTTTCCAGCAGAAGAGTTTCACCTGAGAAACATCTTGCATGCTTTACAGTTTGTCGTCTTGTCAAAGGTGTACATCTGGAAGTTGTGGTTGTTTGCCATGGCTTTTTCCGGCTTGATGTTCGACCTGATTCAAAGGGAAAACGAAAACAGCTGATGTTTATTTTTAGTTCTCAGGACTATCCTGATCAGCTTCAATAACACTGCACGCTTTTCCAACTTATTCAGGAAGCTTCTGTGGGCACCCTGAGGATCACGAACCCAAAGTTCCCCGATAAACTCAGCATTTCAATTCTTTTGTTTTAATTTCTAAAGGAGTCAAGAGGGAGCCAACCTGTCTGCCTGTCTACTCATGAGTAACCCCCACTGTGGCCAGTGGGGCCTGACTCCTTAGTAAGTGGGCTCGGGATTGGAGCTAGGATTTGATTTGCCTGCAAAAATGCTTTAGCTTCTTCTTTTTAATAAATGCAAGCATTGGGGGGGGGGAAGAAAAAAAAAAGAAAAATTTATTTATTTTAGTTGCATTTATTCCACTCCTTTTCCTCAAGAAGCTCAAGGACAGTGGTGTACAAGGTTCTTTCCCTCCTCATTTAATCCCCACAAGAACAACTCTGTGAGGCAGGTTAGGCTGAGAGGCAGTGATTGGCCCCAGATGAGCTTTATGGCCAAGTGGGGATTTGAACCCTAGTCTCTCCCAGGTCCTAGTCTGACATTCTAACAACAATTCAAATGACAAATCCCATAGAAACATTGGACAGGGAGATCCTGGGACATCCTCTCAGGGGCTGCAGGACCGAAAGACTGGTGGTACCCGCTTTTAAAACCCTTCCCTTAAAAATATATAGAACATCAAATAAAACTATGTAATGTCAAACTGCCTCAATGTTGCCTATTGTCGGGTCTTTTACTGGCTCTGGAGTTTTGCCGGTGTTTCCTTTGATATGTGCCAACATGGTGGCTGTCAAGCCTCTTCTTCTTTTAAGTGCCCCAATACTCACATGGCCATTTCGAACTGCTCCATCCACTTCCTTTTCATGTCTTCTGTCTTGCAGAAGAATTGGAAGCCCTGCTTGCCTTGGAGGTGAGTGAGGTAGAAACCGTACGACCACTACCAAGGGAAACAAGAGAGAGCAGTGGATGCTAAAGCAATCAAAATGGTCCCTCCCAATGGAGTCTGGTCCAATCAGGGCAAATGGGGAGTGCTGTCCTGCCAACCTCAGCCTGCCCTCAGCCAGCCCCCATCTGCCCTCCTTCCTTCCTTACAAAGTGTCCCTTATTGACGTGTTACAGCGATAAGATAAAATTAAATCTGACTGTGTGGACGCAGCTTACCATTTTTCCATGCAACTGAGAAGCATGAGAGGGGAAAGCAGAGACACAGTTTGTTAAAAAGAGGCTCCAGGGTCCAGGTCACCCATGTTTTAAAGAGAGAGATTGGCTTCCAGGAGCAGGGAAGACTCAACCTCCTGCCAACCAAGCCCTGCACCCCAAAATATAGATGATTAAGAGGCAAGGAACTAGGATGGGCACATAGCCACATCAGAAGTCCTCCATTGGCCACATTTTGAATTGAGGTCAGGGAATTTTTACATTCTTAGATCTGATCTATATGAAGGAGCGTTCAGCCCCAAATGGTTACTAAACCCAGCCCACCTGCCAAAACTAAGCATTTCAGGGCCCTACTAGGCAAGGGAAGCTCTTTCCATGATGCCATCACCAGGGGATTCCAGTCATGGGGTCTTTTCAATGCTGCCCCCCCTTTTTTATAGAATGCCCTCACTGGCAAAATGTGCTTGATTCCCTTGCTATTAGCTTTCAGAGGGATTTTAAAATATTCGTTTTCACCCAGGTCTTTGGTAGTTGAAAAGACTGTTCCTGGCAACCCTAAAATAATCAGGGTAATATGATTGCTTTTAGAGGTTTGTAAACATTTCATAAATGTTTTAATTTTATTTTTTAATTGTATTGTTTTAACATTTTGGTGTTTGTCTCCCTGGGCTCTTCTGGAAGGACAGAATAGGAATGTAAATGCTAATAATGTGAGTTTGGGGGTCAGTCTGGAGGATTCCCTGAGTCCCTTCCAATTCCTGT